TCAAAGATGGAACGAGATCTACTTAGAACTGATCGACAGAGAGAAAATAGGGGAAGGTGTTTTGTGTTCTAGAAGGAATGATTGCAATAGATGAATTACTCAGGCAGAACTGAAGCCACAGACTTTTAGGGAAACAAAGAGGGAACTGGGGCCTGCGGGCACTTTCAGTGCAACTTTTAATTACACAAACCTTTAGTCACACAGTTTCTAAACAAGGGAATCTATGCAAGCCGAGGAAGTCCTCCAAAGCCCCCCGTTGCAGCATAACTCATCAGATCATTGCTCTGAAACGTAACAAGGACACGGAGCAAGCACAGGTCCCCACTGTGCCGAGGAAGCGTCCACTCTATCAAGACAACAGCAGCGACTACAACCAGAGTAACAATAAAATGAGCAGCGTCAGCTCGACTTCCATTTTTAAAAAGATGGTTGTAATAACTTCTGGTCTGGTTCTCCAATCTCCGTTAGAACATATTTCAAAGCATGCACAGGATTTTTATTTTTAAGGCTTTCTATAAGAGGGATACAATTTTCTTCCAGTTTTGAAGCTTTCAATACCTTGTCTTAATGAAAACCGTTCTAAAGTGCTTTAAAAGCAAGCAGGAATAATTCAGGCTAAAGAAACACTCCATCCTGATAATTGAACAGAAGCGAACGTTCAGAAGTAAAAATTACATAATTTTTCTTAATTTCTTAAATATATCTATTTTTCCCCTCCCTTTGGCATAAGGAGAGCCAAATGCAAAGGGCGTGGGGCTAATTTTCATTTACAAACACAAAATTTTCCTTCAAGAAGTGTGCATTTTCTTAATCGTTGATAATAAAAGGCATCTGTGCCCCTGTCTCGTGATTGAAGAGAGCGAAATTGTAACACACACACACACACACACACACTTCTCTCTTCTCTCATATGTTAAAATCTCATTAGGATAATCATCCGGCACCTACGAAATGTAGCCACAAGCAGACACATTTTATTTAAAAAAAAAAATCTTTCCGTGGACATCTTATACTATTAAACTTAAAAGATCCCAACTGATGGGGGTGGGGATTGCCCAGAGCACATGCATTAGTCAATACGGAGCCCAGCGCTTTGATGTGTTTTGTCTATTGCAAGCCAAGTTCCTATTAATTATAGGTTGCTTTACCTTTCCGCACATAATTTACCTTTATTACATGTAAAATATATTTTATATTATGATTATACCAGAGCCAGGCCAGCTGATGATTCTTTTTCTGCATTATGTGATGACAATAACTGCTGTTACAAAACCCAACATATTTTTGGTGAGGCTGATACCCAAAATATGAACGTCTCGGAAACACCTTCAAGAATAATCCCCAGGAGGTAAAAAATGAAACATCATTTTAAGACCATGCCAGTCAACCCCATATGATTCCTTTTGTTTACCTGAATTTGAATGAGGTCAGCAGAGTTTTTGTTTTCTATTGTACACAAAACCAAAAACCCAGTCTAACCACGATTATACTCATTAACGCAAATTTGAACCCTGCGTGGTTTGATTTTACGAACTAAGAAGTACTCAAAATCTGCTGAGTTAATCTAGTTCTTATTTGAAGTGCTATAATATATAAAATTTGAGCCAAAAAATACCATTTTGCAAAGAAATATATTTTTTCCCTTCAATATTCACGGTGAGTACATGAAAGATTTGTATTTGAAAACACTCAAATTTTTTCCTGCACTTTCCCCAAAGCACCAGCAAGGTACAGAGCATGGGAAGAGCAAGGAAAATTCCTCGCAGAAAATATGATTTTAATAGTAAAAGTCAAATCTGTGAACTAAACAAACCTTTGGTTTCAGTTTACTTTAGTCAAAGGGCAGAGACTAAAAAAGTGTTTAACTACCAATTGAACAGTGGACTTTTGAATTGGATAATGCAAGAAAAGATTTTGGATCTGGTACATTTTAAAACATAATTAAAGTAATATTAAAATAGAAAGTACAGCATTTTGTTTATTTTCATCATCATTAAGTTTGTGACCACTCAATTCATGGAGTGTAATGTCATGACATGTAAAAGGAAAAACTCAGTCGTCCATCTGTGAGGATTCTGCCTGCCTTAAACGCAGTAAGATTACCACTGGCAAAGTGTAACCCCCGCTTCCCACCCCCTTATTTTTATAACATAAATGTTCTTGCAGATAACACCATCGCTTTAAAAAAATACAGATTCTTCTACCCCCCAAAAAGTTAATGTAATAGATGCCAGGGCTCCTTTATCATGGATATAATTCAAGTGCAGTAATTGCAATTAACTAGCATAATTAAGGGTTGAACTTCAATTTCAAGAAAGCCAACTGTGCTGAAATGTGTGTGTGACTCAAAGATTGGTGATACTCAGCTTTCAAAAGCCACCGGATTATACGTTTCCCCGAAGCAGCCGCATCTATAGAATCAGTACCATTTTGGGGCAGTAACAGATAAAATACAGATCACAGGACAAATGTTGCCCATGTGGCTTTACAGAGGAGGATGTGCGTGTGCTGATCTCTTGTATAGTGGCCCAGACTAAGGACCCAGGACAGCAGGGTCTGCCCTAGCAATAAACCATAGCTCAGCGTACAAGACAAAGCCCTTCTTTTGTTCAAACCACGTCAAGACATGTTCCTGCTGGGGACTTAATCTGCAACAACTTTGAGACCTCCTGCTTCTACAGCTTAATTATTTAGGCTCAGATAGACAACTAGATACATGAACATGACCCTAGCAGCCAAACCGGTTACTCTCTTCAAATATTCAACTGACCTTCCAAAGTAAATATTTCCCCCTAGCCCCTCAGCCGCTTATTTTGTCTTAAATTGGTTGCTAATGCCTTGAAAAGTCCCCTGATATTTTGCAAGCAGCTTTAAAGTAAACATCGCCCAACTATATCATTTTAGCCCTTACTGACTGGTTCACTGATAGAAACTGAAGCACGCAGGAGAGGTCCAGCAGATTCAGCATTCTGTAATTACACCAACCTTGTTGGCTCATAGGTAAGTTAAAGAGATCTTTGCAGCAGGCTTACGAATCTGCAGCTTCTACGTTAGCAGAGACCTCGCTTTGTTTTATGCCAAGAGGCCTACTTTGAAAGAATGAGGCAAGAGTGAGTGGAGAATATTAACACCCTAAGCAGAATAGGATTGATCTGAGGCATGAAAATATAGGTCAGAGTCGTTTCCACGGCATAAGTACCACTGGCGACGTCACTTCCACCCGGAGCATTTGGGAAAACACGCGCAGCAAGAAGCATTTAAGTGGACAGCAAACACATCTTGTCTTAACAAGGCACTTTGGGTTCCATTTACAATCTGTTGAGCTTAACATCACTCAACTATACTGCTTGCCTTAAAAAAATAATGTAAATGAGCTAGAAGTTGAGCAGTTGCTTTGCCTGTTTTTTTTTCGCCTTTTTTTTTTAAGTTTAGATAGTAGGGCACAGAAAAGCCAGAATGAATAGTGAAAGCCAGCTGTATTACTTCAGTATGTAGGAATCAAAAAGAGCAGAATTAGGTTTATAACCTTAGTGGCCCATTCTAAAAGAATGTTGTTTGGAAGCAAACACACCCAGTGTGAATCCATTCCATTTCCGATGAATTGAAATGGTGGTCGCACAGAGAGTAATGCCTCCACTCGGGTTGTAGACAGACGTTTTCCTCAATGGGAGTACGTAACCCCTGCTGACACTAACGGGAGGGGCACACAGGCGGAAGGAGAGAGTAGCCCCCTTTGTCTGTTCTCACTCCCATTTCTCTCGAGTCCATTTTACAACTCCAGCTTCAGACTGGTGGAAAACACACCCTGTGGATTGATAATGGAAAAATGAGATTAACCAAGTGAGCAAAGCGCCCTCCTTCCTTCTGATGTGGGAAGCTGAACAATGCAGTTGGGAAAGGATCTTGCTTTTTTTACCTTTTCTTCTCATTCTTTCTTTTCCCTCCGTTACCCGCTCCATTTAAGAATCTCTTCATGCTTGTAAAATGCTCTTTCTTGGTTCATGGCAAAGAGTAATAAAATCATTATAGTTTTCCTTCGCCAAAAGGTACTTTAGAGACTAATCTTAATTTAGATCCAGACACGGCTAAGTCAAATGCATCAGTGTTGGGAAAACGAATTAAAAGAGAGGTCATTTTTCTTACTAATTTTTTAAAAAGGTGTTGCAGATTGAAAATTCCTTAGGAATCATTCCTTAATGCTATGGCTACATTACAAAGTCGTAATTCTCCCACTTTGACACTTGGGATTTCCAGTGGCTTATTTTAGGAATCTACATTAGGACTTAATTTTTACGTACTGGTTCATACCAAGGCTGAGATTCCCTTTACTGGAGTGGAACAAAAATCAAATTTTCAAAGTAACTATGCTCTAAAGATTCTCACCATGCAATAGGGAGAGATGGCCCCCAAATAAAAACTTATTCTTTAAAAAAATATCCTTCAGAAAATATTTGCAACATACTAAACATTGTCTTCCTCACAGAAATAAGCAGTCTAGGAGGAGTTTGTTAAGTTGTCTAATTCTTTGTGTGCTTTATTTACATCTTTTCCCCTTAAATGAAGCAATATGTTTGTTTATATGTTTTGATCCGAAGGGAAAACTGGTAAGATCTCAAACTGGAGACTACAGCCTTCATTCATAGATGAAAAAGGAAATACAACCCTCTTTCCATTACTAAAAACCTATTATTGTGTGAACACAAAAATAATGGAATGTAATGAGTGAAAATTCTTTTTTCTTATTACTTTTGAATCCATAATAACTAAAAGGTCAAAATGCTAGTCAAATCTGGGACACTGAAAGAAAACACATCTTAAAGCTGGACGTGTTACAATGGAAGATGAGACATTAAAAGAACTAAGATACTGATGATCTGTTAACAGATTCCATTGAGATAGTTAGACCCAAGGATGTTTGCTAATGTTTTTATTCCCAAATAACCTACACTTTGAGTAATTCTTCTTTGTCATCTTTTTTTTTTTCTTTCTTTTGCTATAAGTACCCCTAGAGGAATCTGTGTAACCTAGCAGCTATGAGGAACCCAAGGAGCCTCTGAGACAGCATTGCATGGATTCTTCGTCCGTGAACAATTTGTTTCATCACACACTAGGACACCCGTTTTGGTGGTACTTGTCATCACTCTGACTGCATAGTATGAAAGGTTGCCAAGAGTTCTTCGCTGCTTTTCAGATTCACTTGTCATAAACAAAATACGTGATTAAGTGCCATTTTCTCTAAAAGGAACTCGATTTGACTCTCTACTTGGGAACAAAAAGGGAGAAGTAAAAGAGTAGTAAATCTAAGTTATTCCTTGCTTTTTTAATCCCCAACATCTAGAATTATATGAGCATAATGGGTATGCAGGTTAAATTGGGTACTGTCACATTTTTAAAGGCACTATTTTAATTTTTAAAGGAGTATAAGTGTTTTTCTACAGAATGCAACAATGTAAATCAGCTCCCGTAGATATGTTATTATCCCTATGGTTCAGCAGATAAATTTTTAGTTTTCATAGTCTGAACATGGTTGCAGTAGGTTCGATTTTCCAAAGATGGCTGCAACAATATCTTCCATCAACAATCCCTTCTTATGATGTGGTTTTCCCCTTCCTCCCTACAGGAGGTAGATTCAACCCTCTGCTCTTAAAACTGGGTGGGCTTTTGTGGCTATTTTGACCAATAGATTAGGGCAGAAGCCACTCCTTGTGACTTCTGAGGTTAAGTTATCCCAGTGAACGCAATCCAACTATCCGAAGACGTCCATGCTGCAAGGAAGCCCAAACGACCATGTGCAAAGGGCCCACATGAAAAGGCCTGAAGTTACGTGAAGAGAGAGAGAGATGCCAAGGCAATCCCCAGATGCTCTGCCCCTTCCACCTCTGCTGTCGCAGCGCCAGCCGCCGTCTGACCGTAACCACATGAGAAACTTGGAGCAAAAACTGCCCAGCTGAGTCCTGCCAGGATCTCAGAGCCACAGAAACCATACAAGATAATAAAATGATTGTTCTCCTAAGCCACTAAGTTCTTGTGTGATGAGTTACACAGAATTAGATAAATAGAACCACTGTAGATGACTTTCAGAATTAAGTCTCACAGTTTTAGAGCACTTTTGAGGTCATTTACAGGCAGAAAAATGTATTTTGTGCTTTGTAAGTTGGTCTTTGTTTACATAAGAATATTACCATTGGGTAGACCTTGACATAAGTGAATCCATCATCAATAAACAAATACTTATTGCACAGCTGAGGCAAATTTCTAGCTCCTGTTCTACATCTGACAACTAATAGGAACACATTTAAATTAACTGCTCTATAAATAATTGCTTTATAAATAAGTTGAATTAGTATTTTCCACATAACAATTTTATTTTAACTAAATATGGTAAAAAATACTTTTCTATAAGATATTACAGTATTCATTATCACATGGAAACAGTCAGTCAAATATAAATTTAATTTTGTCATGGTGCCTTTAGGTCCCATTGTGAAGGTTACAGGAGCCGGTTACTTCCATGCTGAGTGACCCAAGACTGCTGGTGCTAAAGGTGAATCTGCCTAGAGTCACTTGTCACTTTTTAGCCCATGGGCACAATTAGGTTTCCACTCATAATCCGGTTTCTTCCATGTGCCAGGAAAGATATCCAATCTCATTAAACAGGAATGGATCTAACTGGTTGTGGATATATTCCAAAGATATTCTGTGCATGTTTAGGTTTTCCAGGTTGTTTGAAACTGTTGAAAAAGTACCTAATAAATAGAATTTTACTGTCTTAAGAATCACAGTCTCCTATGTTTGAATAAAATTCTAACGTTTATCAACTTGCTTCAAGGTACTACTGAAATTCATCTATAAGGTTCTTCAGCCAATAGTTGTCAAGTTTATGACTGAACATATTAAACTAGTGAAAATAATTAAATATTGCATCCTTTGATAACCTTAATACTTCTAAAAGTTCCTCATATGCATATACTAATTTGCCTTATTATTTTTATTAGTTCCAAGGCCCAGGTCCTATTCTGTTAGACCCGTAGAGACTCTGGCCTCCTTGGCATGCCCAGAGGGGCTCGGTAGCAAGCCTTGGAAGTGCTAGGAATGAATATCCTATGGGGCAGTCTGGCCGATAATAGGCAGGAGGGGGAAAAACTGCCCCCTATCTCTCTTGGTCTCAAGATGTTATGTATGATTAGCAACTGACCGTGATTTTTTTCAGTTTGTTTTGTGATGCTATGTCCCCAGTAATCAAAGTATATGGGACTAGGATCCAAGTGGTGAAATTAGGAGATAGTTAGTGCTGGTCACCATCACTCTCAGAGACCCACTTGTAGAATTGGTGCGTCCCATTCCTGTAGTTAAGAGGCCAGGTCCTAGGAAGGATACATCCACAAGAGGACACAGTACAGCAATGGCTCTGTTGATGGAGAAGTTGAGATACCACCTCGCCAGTTTTTACTCATTCAACCGATGAATCAGTAGGCAGGAAGGGACTTTCTGTATTGACTGGGATAATACCTTCTGATTCACATGAAGAAACAATTTGCTACTACACAACGGGAGCAGAAAAAAAGAAAAAAAGGTGTCTGGAACCCAGAATATTCCCTAGGGGAACTCTTGTTTCCATGGCCAATGATAACTGTGAATGGGTAATTAAAGCCCCCTGAGAAGGGAAGGTTTGTGCCACTCCACCTGGCAAGCAATAAAGACCAACCAAAATATTGGCTGAAGGTGAGAAATTCCAGAAAGGGTAATAAAAGAGGATGACAATAAATATTAGACTCCCAGGTGCAGCTGCAGCAGTGCGGGGCCATGGCTTGGTGGGCGAAGCTTTCTTAAGTCTTCTGAAAAGTTTGCTACTAGTCACTGTCTTCTTGGAATGTCCCTGCGCCTCTCATCTCAGGAAGACGTGAGGACATCTAATTCTTATACAGAGTATGAAGAGTTAAGGAAGGGTCAAAACGCATGTGAGCAGCTCCATTAATAAAGTACATACAGTAATGGATGATATTGGATCCAGTGCCTTCACACTTTCATTTTGAGTAGCCTGTTCTCTGGGCCTTGGACATGTGCTCCAAGGAGAGTCTAGGTGAACTATTATCTATTTTATCTTTGAGGATTCTTACCTCATAATATGCTTCCATGTCACAGTCTGTATCTTTAAAAAAATTTTTTTGCTAACTTTTTTTATTCAATATAGAAAAGCACTTGAGAATTCAGTTATGACTAATGATGTTCCTTCAAAGTCAAGTGAATCCCTTTGGAAAACTTGAAGAACAATAAAAATGTCCCTGATCAATATAATAGTACATATCAAATGCCTTAAGATGCACGTAACACTTGGTCCAGTAATTTGACTTCTAAAAATGTATCCTAAGGAAATAACTATAAATGTGCATGAAACATACACATGTAGACTTTTTATAGAAGTAAGAATGAAAATAATTTTAATATTCAACACTAGAGGTTCAGTTAAATGAAGTAAAGCAAGTCTTGGAGTTGGAATAAAATTTACTCATTAAAAATAGTTTCAAGACTATTTAGTGACACAGAAGAATATGTGTATTTTTATGTGAAAAAGGAGTTAGATCTATTTTTGCTATCATTTAGCTAGAATTTGTTGGGTGGATGAGACAGAAACCTTTGATTATTAAGAGACCAACAAGCAACCCAATCGAAAAATGGGCGGGAGACCTAGACATTTCTCCAAAGAAGACACACAGATGGCCAACAAAAAAGATGAGAAGATGCTCAATGTCACTAATTATCAGAGAAATGCAAATCAAAACTATGATGAGGTATGAATGGCCATCATCAAAAAGTCTACAAATAATAAATCCTGGAGAGGGTGTAGAGAAAAAGCAACCCTTCTACACTGTTGGTAAGAATGTAAATTGGTGCAGTCACTATGGAAAACAGTTTGAAGGTTCATTAAAAAACTAAAAATAGAGTTACCATATGATCCAGCAATCTGACTCCTGGGCATATTTCCAGAAAACACAAAAACTCTAATTTAAAAAAATACATACACCCTAATGTTCATAGCAGCACTATTTACAATAGCCAGGACATGGAAGCAACATAAATGTCCATTGGCAGGTGACTGGGTAAAGAAGAAGTGATATATTTATACAACGGAATATTACTAAGCCATAAAAAAGAATGAAATAATGTCATTTGCAGCAATACAGATGGATCTACAGATTATCATACTAAATGAAGTAAGTCAGACAGAGAAAGACAAATATCATATAATATTACTTATACATGAAATCTAAAATATGATACAAGTGAACTTATTTACAGAATAGAAACACACTCACAGACATTGAAAACAAACTTATGGTTACCAAAGAGGAGAGGACAGGGAGGGATAAGTTAGAAGTTTGGGATTAACAGATACACAGATAGATATAAAATAGATAACCAACAAGGACCTACTGTAAAGCACAGGAAACTATATTCAATATTTTGTAATAGCATAATGGAAAAGAATCTGAAAAAGAATATATATATGTATATATATACATATATAAGAATCACTTTGCTATACCTGAAACTAATACAACATTGTAAATGAACTATACTTCAATAAAAATAAAAATAAAAAGAGATCAAAGAGCCATATTTGTCATTCTATGAGCTAAGCATAGTATCTTGCTTCTACTAAATGTCCCTGCCCATGGAAGCATTGACTCAGTTACAATCAGGACAAGTACTGCATACATAAACACAGTACGTGGTGAGAAATCGACAACTAACAAAATAAGAATTAAAACTGAACCAAAATCATCACCACACTCGTGACACTAAACATTTTCTGCCCTGATTTTCAAAAGACATAGTTTAAAGGGGAATCATTCTTGCCTGTGGATCCAGTTGCTTCTAAGGCCTAGGTATGCCCTGCCTGCACTGAGGCATGAAGATTGAACAGCCTGAGTTTTCTTTGAGGTTAGTCCCATGAGGATTATTTGAGGATACTTCAGGGTTTGTGTAAAGTTGTTCAAAATGAAGACATTAATTACAGTATTGGAAAGAGTTGTGTTTGGGTAGACAGACCTGCACCAAGAAGCAACCAATTGGCAACCTTAACACAGTGCCTGCAGAATACAGAATTGTCGTGTAACGAAGTGGAGGCAAGGAACTGCGTTCTCACTCTCTTTCTCTCTCCTTTTCTCTCTCTCTCTCTCTCTCCCTACACACACACACACACACACACAGAATGATGGGAGAAATTTTCACATACTAGGGTATGTGAAAGTCATTCTGGCTTATACATGATTTAACTTGAACTTTAGGCTAACCAAAACAGCCTGTTCATGGTCTATTAAATATAAATTGTACATCTGCTTTAGCCATTAAAAAAAAACATTTTAAAAGTCAAAATGGAGTTACTATGGTTCAGGCATTCAAAATGGAGCTGGGTGGTCATTGTGGATGTGGTTATGGCAATGTTCCTGTATTGCTGAGAACTTGAATCTTCTGAACTGTATCAGACTCAAGGATACCACCAGCTGTTCTCAAAACGGTATCTGCTAGCTGCCAGCTGCAGCATTAAACCCCCAGGGTCTCTCCTTGTAACTATGCAACCATTTCGGACTCCAACCAATTTTTATGTAACCCCCCCCCCCACACACACACACACTCTTCTTGCCATCTCCAGTCCTAATTCGTGACAAACAATTTATGTTATTTTGTGGGGTTTGCCGTTGTAAGCTTCCCCCATTTTGTAGCCTGATAGAACATAATTCAAGTACTTCTCGAATCTGTGTCTCTCAAGCTATAGTTCTCAGTTTGGCTCAAATAGAACTCTTTTCTATTCCTATTACAGTTGGTTTATTGATTATTACCCATCAACAACAGAGAGGGAGAGAGGAGAGGCACAGAGAAAGAGAGAGAGAGACGAAATAAAGCATGTTGGGGTGTTAAGCATAATACTTCTTTTAAAATAAATTTCCTTCCTCTAAGAGTTCAAAGTGGAGTCACAATGAAATGAGTCCTTTTAATGAATCACTGGCCCCA